GGAAGAAGGCAAAGTCTTGAGTTAATTAATTTTTTGTTTGTTTGTTTGTTTGTATGGCTCTATTTTTCCTGAAGAGCCCAAATCATAGAAACTTTCATTAGATCAGATTCCACACAGAAAGAAAGCCCTAGTCACGTGTGTAGGGAATTTCCATTTTGAAGCTGGCCTGAGGTTTGCATCCCTTTCCTCTGATGTCCACACATGGTGCCCAGCTGCTCACTTATAGAGGTGCCATGCAATTGGGACATGATGTTCCAGTCAGGCACAGCCTTATCTGGGAGCAGCTGTTTGTACATTAGGGTTTCTCTGCAGACAACCATACAGAGTTTTGAGAGAACCCACTTCTGCTTTAGCACAGAGCAGTCCTGCACTTGAGAATTCCATAAATGGGACTGCATAGTGATAACACATAGAGCCCCATCAAAGATAATAGTTGCACACAAGATTTGAGTTTTTTTCTTTAGTCCTAAACTGCAATCTACCATCATTTGCATAGGAGTTAGCTTCATTTAAATCAGTGAGGCTTGCTTCTGAGTAGATATTGTACTATTAATTACTGAAAACAGCCAAATTCCAGAGGGGTAACCATATTAGAAGCAGGAACAATGAAGCATATTGTGTGGCATCTTACAGACTTAACAAATTCAGAAGGTTTCATAGAAATGATGAAGTGGTCTTTTGCTGGCAAAAACATATGTAGACTTTCTAAATGTCCAGGACTCTTTGGTAAAATAAAGCAACCAATAAGTAACTCATTTCAAATGGATAAAACAGTTTGAAATTCTAAAATGACTAGCCTTCAAAGTATAAAATATTTAAGAAATATTATAAATATTCATCCTCTGCATCTTTTCTCCTTCGTCCTCCGAAGAATTAATCTGTTATATATAATTTAAAATATTGTGTGCATGTGTGTAATAGAAACTCTCTCTCTCTCCCTCTCTCTCTCTCTCTCAGAGGTGAGAATAATGCAATTATTGCAGTGATGGCAACCAATATTCCAAAATAAAAAATATAGAATAAGGATTAGCTTATAAATAAACATTGCTGTTCTGTCCCAGCATTTAGGACCCCACTTCTAGTTAATTTTTCCAGGTGACAAAGATGAGGAATGGGTTCCGGATGTCAGTCATGACCCTTCAAATGATGGGTACTGCTGCCATGGCAACCTTTCCTTTCAGCTTTGCTTAGCTGTGGCCTGAAGGCCTCAGGTGGAATGGCTGGAGGACACTGGGAGTTGTAGGCTGTTTTACTGTCTAAGCTGCGTAGGACTGTGCCTCAAGTGACATTTCAGGGAATCACAGTTCATTCAGGAATCACTATTTGCCGACTGCTCCTTTGAGAAAAGGAACAGCTAAGCTGGGTAAGCCAGTGAGAATGATTGCCACATAGCATTTGCTTTGAAAATGCCATTCTCAGCAAAGTTTTCCACAAAGTCATGAGTATTGCTTCTTAGTGCTCATACATCAGTCATACATCAGCAATATAATGAGGTCTAACCGTTTTGTTAGCTAGACAAAAGAAATAAGAAATGGATAAAAATACTGTGCTACTTTCCTAAAACCACTGACAGTAATCAATTGCATGGAGAGTACTGCAACTTTGAAAATCGTAGATAGGAATTTTATGTAGAAGTGCTCATGACTTGTAATATAATTAACCTACAGCAATGGATATGTAACCGATTAAAAGCCCATACCTGCACCATTCCCTTAGATAACTTTCCGGTGACATTAGTGGGAGTTCTGATTTGAAGAATTAGGTGTTTGGTACTTTCCAGCATGGTTCTAAACCAGCAAAATTAGATTAGTAATGATGGTGCTGCACAATGCAAAGCTACATTCATATTGTTACCCCAACAGTAAAATCAATAAGAAATCCTCAATGAGAAACTCTGGGGTCAGCTCCAAAAGCTTCCTAGCTATTTTGAATTTTCTGTCCTAGGACTCAATTACAAATATAAATGTTTTCATGTTAAAAAACTGGATTTATGATAAAACATGAGCAACAAGCAAGATCATATTTAGCACCACCAATGATTTTGATTTACCTGAAACAATATTTAAAAAGCACCAAACATGCTGCATGAATGTTGTGTCAAGAAATACAATGTACTCAAAGCACTCTCACAATCTTCTTCTTGGTGCATAAAGATACTTTAATATGAACCAGCCAAAGCTGAGTACATGTCAGTCCCATTCAGTGCAATAGAGTTGGATCATGCCCATGGGTGCAATTATTTTAACATATGCAAACATTTGTATCCATACAAGTTGTGCAGCATGGTTTATTTCAATTGGAGGGGCAACCCTAACTCACTGATACTAGAAGAACAGTGCTAAGTCTGTCCGATGCACATCTTTCTTGATCCCCTTTATCTTTTTCTCTTGTAATCTGCCTTACGAATTTAAAAGGATTATCTACCAAGCTCTCTTGTTGGCAGTTGCAGACAGTAAGTTAAGTGCTACTTGTTGCACAATATGGGCACAAACCATAGTCAGTACCAATACATTGCATTATTTCAAATATCACACCAAATATTCTTTCTTATTCTGGCACCCTAGATGACATCCAAAATCAGTCATGTGATATAGCTGTCTCAATTCTCTTCTTGTTAAGTCTGCTTTTGACAGATCAGCCACCATTTACTTCAGAATCCATCTATTACAATGTATGGAACTGCTTCCAATTGAAATGGATGTGATTCCAGCAAGCCTACACTATCTGTGACCCACCAAGAGCCCAATTTACTGCATACCTGACCCCAAGTAGCAAAAGATAAAGCTGTAAACCTAATGTAGTCCACCAGCTTTACATTGTTATCTCATAAGAAGGGTGTTAAATATTATACTTAAGAAACTTAAAACACTCCATCTTATCTCTGTACACAGAGGCTGAAAAGGAGAATTCAGGGATGGGAAATTTCTTGGGAATTCTAAGAATATTTTACATTATTAGGTAAGCAGATTCTTATACATTTTAAGGATTTTAATATATTTTATATATTTTAAAGGATTTTATTCTTAAAGGTATGCAAATACCAAATAAGGGATATGTTTTTGTTTCTCTTTATGTACCATACATTTGGGAACACAAAAAGTGCAGTTTTTATTAATGTTTTTATAAACTTCAGTTTTAGAAATCAAGATTATTATAGCTATATATAAGATTATATATAGGTGTGTGCTTTTATGATATTCATCTCTTAATCATCTTGATTTTAACAATTGTTTTATATTCTTTGTGGTGTCAACAATTTTTGCCCCCAAAGAAAAGCTTTACTTAGGGGAATGTTGAACATTTATTTCAGCCAATCTGATGACTTCCAGATAGTTTGGACTTCAACTACTATCAAGCCTAACCCAGTCTGCATAGCTAATGGTAAGAAATACTAAAAGGTGAAGACTAATACATCTAGAAAGCATTTGGGGAAGTTTGGCTTACTTTGTTCAATACTATTTGTGTGTACATGCATTGTACATGATCTCTCTGTCTTTATGTAACATCTATCATCACATGCTAGACTTTTGACAGGCCTAGGTTTTTTAGTCTCAGGAAGGTATCCAAACTAGGGTAATATATGACTGACAGGCTACATTTTGTTTGGTGGACTGCGAGGTACACAGGTCTTGTCTAAAGTCTTAAGAGTGTTTTTATACACTGAAGTTTAAATCAGTTGTCATTCTCCCTCTTGCTGTTTATGTGAATGCATGTTTGCTGTCAAATCTAAATAGAAATTAGGTGAGGCATTTATATTCTGTTTTGCATTCTGGCCATCATCAGTTGGGCCATTTCCAGGTAAAACCACCTGAAGGTCAATGTACATCAGGATTCCAGTCCTGTTCACATCAGCTTCTGCAACAGAGCTTATCTGTCTGTTGGTGCAGCATCTTGCTACTATGTTTGTGAGCAGGTTGTTTGGAGACCTGAAAAATGATGAATTGACACCATCAAGAAAGAAATGAGAACCCAAGGGCTCTCATTTTGGAAATATCTTGATAAAATATATTCAGGGCACTGGTGGAAAAACTTACTAGTTGCTTTGATCTGGCTAGAGGGGAAGTAAAAATAATTTTGTAATAACCTGGTATCCATTCCTAATGTTTTTTTTTCAAGAATATAATAGGGAAGATGGACCTCCAATTAATCAGCTTGATTTCTGGGATAGTAGATTTTAATCTGGCATAGAAATAGATTAATAATAATTGATATATTGATTTTATTATTCATAGATATATAAGCAATGTTGTATATTTGACTGCATGTAACATTGAAAAAAAGATTTTAAAAGGACAGAAATAAGAACCCAAGAGGTGAACCCAAGCAAGCATATGGGAATGTTTCAAGTTCAAAGTAGATCCAATTTCCTTATTTGTCTTCTGATAATTCAGGACTACTTACAGATACTGTCAACCAGGGTTTGTGATATTAATAATATAATGCCAGAAACAGAGGGTTGGATCCATACTAACTTAGTTGTGCTTTATTCTCACTGAGGTAAATGGGACAAACTTAGTATTGACACATTTACGTCCTTTTGAGTTCAATTGGACAAAAGTATGATTGGTGTGAGTCTGGATCTTACTCAGGCATTTTATTTGCTACAGATGCAATCTACCCACCATTGTTCCTGCCAGATTGAAATTAATGGAAGTTGTGATAACTATAGCTACAAGAAGGTAGAGTTAGAGATTTACACATATCTGTAATTATGAAATTTGCAGTAGTCATCTCTGTTTGAGTGCTCTACTCTGACTTTCTTATGGGACAAAACAGGATACAGGCATTTGCCAAATTTTGGCACCTGCATTGATGCATTTACTGCTGTCCTGCATCCTCATTCCAGCAACATACCCAGTATAGGACAAACTCTAGAAAGAACTGAGCTTTCATAAGCACTTTATCCTCTAGTTTTATAGAACGGACATTGATCATACTCTAGATTTAACAAAAAAAAAGACTTTAGCCATTCCCCAAACACAGAAAATATTGTCACTTACCTTTTTAACATCTGGTATGTTAAATTGCTTTTTAGTATGAGCAACCCAACCCACTATCCCAATGTCCAGAGGAAAAACAGCTTCTTTTTCAGGAATCACCAGGTTGTCCTCATATTTGGATGTAGGGGTGACATCTAAGAGCCTGCTAGCCACCTCTGGAATACCATTGCGAGAACGGCAAATAAACATGCTACATCGATCAGCTGCCAGCAAATGTGCCAACCTTTGCAGAACTTTATGTGCTGTCTTTTCCAGACAGCTCGCTTCATCTTGGATTTCCATTAATATCTCCAAAAGCAACTGACATTCTTCTAGCTTAGACATGTCCTTGAAGGAAGCTCCATCCTTCACATCCTCAGGGCTGACTTTGAAGATGCTTCCTACTACTTCTAGCCGTAGTTTTCGGTCAAAATATTCCTTGGCAAATTCTGGGTTGTTCTCTAGATATTTCTCAACATCATCTTTATTTATTTCACCCATTTTGTTTCACTCCTCCTTGGCAGCGTTATCTTTGTTCTTTGTTACAGCTGCATTACCACTGAAACAGCAACATCAAAACCAAAAGTCTTACTTTACTTCTAATGGGAAAACGGTTGGCTGTACATTCTGTAACTCCATAGGCATACACTGTAGAATTGTCCTGTAGCTTTCCAACCTTCTAAAACCCTTAGGTATAACAGCGGACAACTGGCTTAGTGTCTTCTTAGTGAGGGATCCAGCAGACTGCTAATTAAAGAGATGTCAGGACACTAAACCCTTGAGCACTCTTAGCGGATAAATCCAAGGGAGACATTCTAGCATTTTAAACTAACCCTAACAATTCCTACACTGTGCAGTAGTGTTAAAAAGAAAAGAACATGGGGGTATTCTAACTTGCTTTTCTATGATCTTTTTCTTTATGATTTCCTGATACGCAGAATTTCCATGGCTATGAAAAGTTGGAAGTTCTAAAGCCTCCCTCCCCTTTGGTGTGCAGATAAGCACTTGACATGCCGGCATGGCACGTGCATCCCATGCACATGCTCCCTCCTCAGTATAAATGGTGTTTACCTTGGATACACAACAGCATGCTGGGAAGCCACTCAAGATAAATGGGTTCTCCAAGTCAAATGGGTGGTGTTGGAAACCCACAAATGTGAAAAATGGATCAAAGGCTGAAGTCTATGAACAAAAATGAACTAGTTACACTCCTTCAGCCACAGTGTTTGGGAAGGTTCAGTAAAATGTAATCCTGTGTACACATGGGGGTTGATGTAGTCATGCTTGGAGCAAACCCACTGACCTCACTGGGGCTTAAATTAATGATGAAGAAATTGCCTTACTGATTCAGTGGACTTGACTAAATCTGGAACTGATCCACTGAATTTAAGCTTTCATCTGAGTGGGAATGTGCACCAAATAGAAATATTTGAGAATGTGCTGCAAATACAAATGTAGAAATATGTAAGGGTATGTGAAAATAGCCATGAAAGCAAATGATATTCTAACTGAAAAGCACTAAAAGATAGTGATGCAATAGTAATATACCTTTCCCGAAACAGCAGGAAATTATTTATCTACAATACAGAAATATCTAGGGATGTGATTCAAAAGTTGAGCTAAAAACACAAAAAATGTGCATTGGACTAAAATATTAGAATGAACAAATTCTGAACTTTATAGCTTTCTGGATTTTAGAATCAGAGGTGTTATTGGCATATATGTTTAAAGGGAAGGAAAAAGAAACTCATCATAACAGCAGAAAAGTTCCGAATGACAAAATACTGGAAGATGGACTTCCAGTTCATCAAGAGTTAGTCATAATACAATTGATATTAATAATAATATTAAGAAAAGGGACAACTCAAATTTGGATGGGTTAAGGACATGTGTGTGTTTATTGAAATAATTATTGTGGGCATTTTAAAGAATAGCAGAAATTTATATCACAAGGCTTTGTTTTGTTTTGATTTAACACTTTGCATGTTATCTCAGCAAAGTCTGTTTCAATTATGGGAAAAATAGAAGTTCCATCCTGACTAAGCTAGTATGTATGTATTTATACTCCACCATTTTTCCTTCCAAAGAACTCAGTGTGGCTCAATTCTCCTCCTCCTCTCAATCTTACCTTTACCTGTGAGGTAGGTTGTGTTGAGAGTCTGTGACTGGCCCAAGTCACCCAGTTGGCTCCATGGCTGAGTGGAGACTAGATTGCCTGGATCCACTACAGACCTGGATTGCCTGGATCCACCACACAGACTCTGCAACAGGAAACTACAGGAAACCATTCTTTATTTTGTTGTTTATGAGCATTCATTTGATATATTTGTCATGGCCTTTGCCTAGTACTATAAACTTTTTTGAATTGAACTACAGGAAACCAAGGATAGAAGCCAACATCACATGAATGAAAGATGGCTTATGCAGTGGGAGTCTCTGCCTCTCAGTATTGGCTGGCAGCCTACTGAAAATCTGCTTCAGAAGTTATCAACCTCTGCAGCAGATGTCATAGAATCAGAATAGTAGAGTTGGAAGGGGCCGTGAAGGCCATCGCATCCAGCCCCCTGCTGTTGTAGGACACCACATTACACCATCCCACTCAGATGGCTGTCCAGTTTCTTTTTGAATGTGTCCAGTGTGGGAGAGCCCACCCCCTCTCTAGGCAGCTGGTTGCAGAGTCAGCAAATGTTAATTGCCTAACTCACTTGACTGTCAGTGGAAAAAGTAAGTATATTTCACCCCAATCATCCTAATTTTACATTATCCCACATGCCTGACAATTTATATAGTATAGTGACAAGTTTATATCCAGAAACAGATTGATTTGCCTTAAGAAATTACTATGCCACATCCACATGACATGATAGGAATACTGACCAATCTTACTTGAGATGATGTATGTGAGTTGTTTCGAACCTATGTAAATGTCACTGAATCCTTAGATTTAGTAATCCTGGTTTAGTATATTGTATTTTGTTTGCATTTTATTGAGCGTAAACTGTCCAGAGAGCCAGCATGGCTGAGTGAAAACTATACAATTTTTTTATACACACATGCATGCATGCATACATACAGTCTTAAGAACATAATTACTTCTTTTTCTGAAGAGTAACCCTTTGACTTTATCAATGCATAACAGACAGAAATCACTATGTTATACTTTTCCCATGAGTACAACTGCATAGTAGGAAAAGCTGCACCTGTTACATAGCTACAAAAGCACAGAGTTTCTATAAATGAATTTTTAAACATGACAACTCTTTTTCAGGAAGCTATCAACCAAGCCCTGATTTAGATAATACTGTTTGTGTCTGTCTTTTTCCCATGTCTGTCTTGAAGTAATACTGGAGTTTGGCATGATGTAGGAATTAGAAGAAGAAGATCTGATATATGATTTGGGAATAATGGAGTTGGATGAAGACAGAGTTGTTTAGTTTGTACCCACTGAAATGAATAGAGTATTGTAGCATCAGGGCACAGTGGTGGTGTAACAGTAAGCAAGCTGTATTGAGGAAGAGATGCCTGTGTGTGTCAGCAGAACAAAAAAAAGTGGGGGAATAGCTCACCCAGGTATATTGTAAGAACACCACCACCTTCATCAATTAATTTGTATGCAGTTTTACATGGCAAAGCAATGCTCAGGCAGCTCACAACATCAAAACTTTACACTTTATTTACATTTCTTAATAGCTAACCATTGTACATCATAGCAAATAATCATATACACACTGGGTTAATAAAACTTTAATTAATAAATACACACTGGTTGAACAGTTCCATAATTATTATTTTATTTGATGATAATAATTATGTTATTTAACTTTAATGTTACTATCCATAAATTATGTTCTTTAACAACCAAATCTAAGAATGTGCAATGTTCTATTCTCCACTGGAATACCATATTTCAACTCATATTTTATCAACTATTTATTTATTTTAAATATTTCTTGGCCACTTTTCAGGGCAGAAGCCCACCCAGGACAGCATATGGCAATAACATGCATAAAACCTGAATGCTATTAAGGATGATCAAAGTACAAGAAGAGCAGAAAGAACACTATAAAAGTGTTTATTCAGATATTCAAAACACTATAAAAGCAACAAAAGCAATATTGCAGATATTCTTAGTGGAGAGTTGTGTTTGTTTGCTTGTTTGTCTCCTGCTCCCTAGACTTTGTTCCCTATGCTTAGTCACCTGTACAGTACAGTTTATAATGGTCCTTAAATGCTTCTTAATGAAGCTAGGAAGCTGTCATTAACCCTTAATTTTAACTTTTTTTACAACTTAATTTTATCCGGTTAATATAATTGTAAAACTGAGTACATGCTTCAATCTGTTCAGTTGAAATTAGAGGGACCTAACTGCTTCACTTTGATTGAAATAGCCCCATTAATAAGAAATCAATTATGCCACTCTTCACTTTCTGAAATGCCCAGCATATACTAGACACTCTGGTTTCTGTAATATAATATGTTTAAAAGAGTTTTTCATGTTAAATATAATCAACTCAGAGCATACTCCAGCCAAAATACAAAAAAATTAATACATTATAGCCTTAAAGTTCTTAAAAATAAATAAAACTATAATTAAAAGCAGCAAGGCAAACAGATAAGACCATAGGTATTGAGCAAATATTGTATCTGCTTGTTCATAGAAATATGCAATAAAAATAACTAATATTTGTCTTTGTACAAATATGATAGACTTTTATCCATGGAATGATACGATTTCTTGAGGAGCATTGCTCTTTCAAAAAAAATTTGACATACATTTCTTGTTACTTTAATATGACTGACGTAGTTTTCCTTTGACGTTTGCAGTTACTACAGCAAATACAACTATTTATGGAATAGTTCTTCGTAATGCACCAGCCCTGAGCTTCTACAGTACATGGAAACTCCTAAGAAGGATAACTGACAGACATGTGGCTATTTAAATAGATTGAAGTAGCATGTAAATGCCAAAGGTATTTATAAGGTTCCACTTGTGCAGCCTAGTGTTTACATCCAAGTGTAGCCATGGTGATAGCAGCTCATTCTCCAAGTTGCTCATTTGTTAATTTAAAAAAAATAAATAATTTGAAGACAAATGTGTGGATTGTGATAATGATCCTCTGTATTGGCACAGCCTTTGTTGAAATATATAGGGTTGATGTGATTAATCAAGAAATACTAAGCAACTTACATGAGAAGTGACCCTCTTATTTCCTAAACTGACTTTATCTTATCTGCAGCTGGGAAAGGATACACCTAGATAATAGCTTCTTGGATTTTCTTTTGCATCTCATGTGTATGTGTCACACAGATTACAGCATATGACCTCCTTTCCTGTTATTTTTTGTTATATTTTGAGTATGAAAATCCTTAAGAAAAAGAATGAACTCTTAAAAAGAGCACTGAAGGGGGACCAATATTCAGAATGCTGATGTAAGATCTTGGCTTCTACACATTCTTTGATAAAATGCGTTGGGTTGATGAAGGGTTATGTTTTCCTTGCT